AAACTAAATAGAAAACTTCTTATAGATCTTACATGTATCTCAAAACCTTTTTAGATTTATATTTATTTTAAAAAATTTATCAATATCAATTTCACATAATAAGAAATATCTCAATCCTACATAAAATGAAATCTCTTTATGTGGGTGATTTTGATTAGCATCAAATCCAAAGTTCACTAAGTTGCACATGTACCCATTTCTAGGAATGGGCCAGGCTTAGCCTTGGCCTTGGTCCGACCCCTTTGACCAGGGCCAGCCTTGTTCTTTTTAGGGCCAGGCAAAAAAAGAACAAATGAAGATGAATAAAAGAGAAAACAAGAACAAAAGAGGGCGGCCTCCGCTCGATCCTCAGGCTACAATTTATAGCCCAGGCCCTACTTATTTAGGTCAAGCTAACCGGGCCCGGCTGGACCATCTTGTCTAGTGACGCATGAGGGAGAAAGTGATTTCCATACATACAACCGCCAATTACATTCATTGGTTAAAAAAAAAAAAAATCAAACAAAACTAAAAGGGTGTCAAAAAAAAGGAAAGAAAAAAGAAAAAAAGAAGAAGAAAAAAAAGACCATATATCCTCACAGTACATAATGAAGTACACACGATTCCGGACTTTACACTTCCCCTCTCCCCACCACCAAAACTGCACAGCTCCTCAAAGAAACCCTCACCAAAATTCAAAACATGCCTGAAAAATTCAAACCCTCCTCCCTCTCTTCCCTCCCCTGCTCACCATATGACTAGGCTTCTTCCCTCCATCTCTACCCCTCTTTGCTGGCCTCCCAATACCCCTACTCGCCGGACTAACAGTCGGATTCTTACTCTCTCTTTTCATTTCTAACACCGGAATCTTCGCCGTCACTTTTCTAGCCACCTTTCCCGCAGGATGGTGCCCAATTGGTCCGCCACTACGAGGATTCGAGGGATTGGTGATAGCCATTGGGGTAGGGTCCAGCTCGTTGGAATTTGATGTTTTGGTGCCGCTCCGTCGGTGTTCTTGCAACATTTTGGTTGTGAATGCTCGTAGAGAAAGAGCTGATTTGTGTGCTTGTGAGGTTTTAGGGAAGAACAAGAGGGCATTGTTGAATAGGAGGAGGAGGTCTCTGAGGAGCTCGAAACGTGTGGTGTATAGATTCGCCTCAAGTCTCGATTTCATCACCTCGAAGTCTATGTGACGCCTGATCATCTTCTTGTACCTCGCTTTCTTCTGTTGTTTTATGTAAACAGAACACATCAAAACAAGAAAAATCTTGTATTAGAAGTGTTGGGATAAATCTAACAAATATTTCAAAATGCAACCTTGGAAAGTACAAGTCCTAGTGTCGTGATCCTGAGTCAGCTGGTTGAACTAGGGAGAGTACAATTGGGTCTGGGAAAGTTCTAAAAATTTAGGAGTTATTGCAAAAAAGGAGACTTCTGATCCGGGCCAACTTGGTTGCGTCCCATCAACTCTGTACATGCTGAAGGGTGCTACTGCTAAACTTAGTGCCGTCCTTCGACAAGGTGAGGATGCGTTGAGGAAGAAGGGTATCAAGATAACAATGGGTCGTTCACCAAGTAACGAAGTCATGAGGATATTGTGTTGAACATGTCGAAGGACAGCACTAAGTTAAGCACTAGCCCCCTTCAGCTTGTACAGAGTTGATGGGACGCAACTACGTCGGTCGGATTAGGATTTGTCTATAAAGAGACCACTTATCTTTTGTACAGGAAAGTCGCGGTCATTCACACTCATTTGATGTCAAATTAGATGACTAAAGGTGAGTCACGAAGTCCAAGATTTTTTTTTGGAATTTTATGTCTATTCAATAACACTCTTTCAACCACCCATTGTGAAATTTGAAGGACAATAATGATTGTGACAATGGTAGACAATTCCTTCTTATTCTCTTTACTGATAAATGGAAATACCAACCCCAGTTGCAACATATTTTGCCGAAAAGCCATATGCACGTTTGAAGTGCTTCTTGAAGCCTTCTAAGTTCTTTTTTACTTTGACAGGAATAATAGTTATACTTCTTTATTAATCAACCACAATTTCACAATGATTGGTTTATGAGACTGTAACCATCACAATCATACCATACAGAGCCCTCTAAGTAGCTGCTCCCAAATTTTCCAATAATCTAAGCCGCCTTACTGGGAGAGGGCTAGGAGAGGTGCTCTTATGCAGGATTACCTATTGTCCTCAAATTAACCCTTAAACATTGATTCTATAAATACCCCTGCCGACCTAGAGATAGTTGGAATACCCTAATTCCAAACCAAATTTATTCTATTTTCAATCTACACCTATTCGAAACTAAATTTATTCTGTTTTCAAGCAATACCTATTCGAAACTTAACCTAGCGGACGGTTCCTCGTTATTCTCTTGTTCTTCTTCTTCCTTTGTTTTTTCTCTTTTTGTGGGCTCTCTGTTTTCTTTTTTCTCCTTCTTTGTGTTCCTCTTTTCCTTTGGAATCTTGTATGCGTGCTCTTGCCATACATTTCTTGTTTTCCTTCTCATAGACATCTTTGTTTCATTTTATATCTTTACTTCTTGTAATCCATTTTTTGTTGTTTTTCAAGCTTTTGGTATCTATTTTCCCTCAACTTGCAATGCTGGCCCCATCAAGCGGTATTGTATGTGGACAGAAAAGATATTACGAGAACATCACACACATACAATGGATAATTTACAATTCCCAACTATTAGAAATACAAAGTTTAATGTGAGAACTTGTTCTCAATGGTGGACTTACTTGCTGAAAAAAAATTTTCCCAAAATTGAACGTATGTTGTCGAAATATTGGACACCAAGATCTAAGTGTTAATGAGCTCAGAATCTTTTTTTAAATAAAATCATCTGATTATATTTAAATAGATCCCCAATTTTTAAATCCATGAATATTTCCAAGGACATTTTTTACACGAGGGATCAAATAGACAGTTTGCTCCCACAGTAGCATATTATTTCTGAGGCTAAAGGACATGAGTTTTTGGTGGGACCCCTCTGTTCCTAGATCAATGATTTCTCTTTAATTTTTTATTTACGCATTCCGTAAGCGCATCCACTCCCTCAGTCAAAAAGACCAACTAGGAACAAAAACTATGCTCCCGTGGGAGTATGTACTATGCATCTCCTCCCTCAGTCAAAAGACCTATTCGGGAGGCTTTTTTCCATCTGAAAATTTCATAACCACCAAAATTTTTACTAAATTTAAAAATAATAAATTGAAATTTTGTGTTTCCGACACTAATGTCTCGCCATAAAAAAAATTAAGACAGTCACGGTCCAATCTTGAGACATTATTTTTTCTATCACAGAGAGTCAATTAAAAAAACGTTTTTTATGAGGTTAGCCTATGGGTTGGAAAGGCTGCATCCCCAAAATTTGGTGCCTTTAAATTGCTCCTTTATTCGGTTTCACCGGAGGGAGCAACAGTACACTCCTGCAGGAGTATGAAATCTGCTACCTATTTAATTATGGTTAAATTACCATAATTAAGAGGCAGGCCTACTACCACCAACGTCAACCATAATTCCTTGAGGCTGTCAAAATAATTTTATCCAAATATACCAAAAGAGTTTGGTAGTCAACCAGTCAAGTCCTATATAAATTACATTGGGTGCGGTTTGTATAGAGACCCACGGCTCTAGAAAATGAAATTAGAGCCTGCCTTCAAATTCAAATAGTATCGAGAAATGTAGTTTTAATACTAAAAATCTTTGTGATAGCCTAAAAATATAATTTCATCTTTATTTATAAAGTTCAAAACTTAAAAAATAGTGTAGATCGATAGATCTATGAAAACTTGAAAATCTTGAAAATTAACGGTCAATCAATGCATTACAAAATATACTATTTCCAAAACGTGAACTCCATTTTTTTTATTATGTCCATGCATCTTGATGTCGAGATAATCAATTTGAGGATATTTGAGCATCAAAACAACCTCTTTTAATGAAATTTTTGAGGTAAGCTCTAATTTGATTGTTTAAAGCCTTGAATCTACATAAAATTTTCCCAAATTTAAGATAGTTCTGCACCACTTAAATTATTTTATTTGGAAAGTATATTAGACGATCCATATATGGAAAAATATAAAGCTATATCTTGTGAGTAGGCAGGCCAGTGCATGCAAATGTTCCCCATCTATGTGACATAGACACCGTGTGTCATGCTTTGGCTCACGTTGATATTCTAAAGACAACAATAGCATTGGACCAACTTTCATCGGTGGTGTGCACCAACTTTCATTGATGGTTACATCTTTTTCTTTTAAACGTCGCTGTAATAGTTCAAGGGTTAATGAAGTTCACAGTAACTAATTTAAAAAAAAAAAACAAAAGTATTGGACCTTTTCAATTGGACACTTCTTATTGAACTATCCATTGAAATCTTGCTCTAAAAAGTATTATACGTAACATTAAAGAAAAAAAAGATAGTATACAATGAAATTATTTACCTTTGATATAAAGAGGTCACAATTACTTATAACCATCCGATGTAAAATTTCATAACTTGGGTCTGTCACAAAATTTGAAAAAATTTATTTTGAAGTTTGAGCTTGGTCAATGGAATAAATACAACCATCCAATTTCATATCCATTGGTTAAGATTCTTATACTAAAAGTAAATAATCTCATTATATATTTTTTCTTAAAAATAAATCTCACTATAAAAATAATTTAATATCATTTAGAATCTCGCTTCAACCATCTTTTTAAACAATTTATCGATCTAAAATACCAATTTTGAAGTTGACATTTGGGACCTCGAATCCATGTTAGACATCTCGGTGTCTTTGGGACACTTCCATGCACAAGTTTTGCGCACTAACATTTTTTTGGGTCAATTTTGAGATTTTTAATTTATACGTCCCAAATACCTTGACTTTTGAAGAGAAATTTGATGTGCCGTTTCTTCTCACACTGTTCGGACTAGACACCAGCCAAAGACCCAAAACAACATTTCCAAAATTTCTCACAAAACTCCTAGGGCAATAATAAAGGGTGCGGTTTGTACAGAGATAGGCTCTAATCAATCATATTAGAGTCTACCTTCAAATAGTGCCGAGAAATATGGTTTTAATACTTAAAAAATTTTGTGATAGTCTTAAATTATATTTTCATATCCTTAGTTATAAAATTTGAAGTTTAAAAAGTAATGCAGAAATACATTACAAGATGCACTATTTCAAATATTTGAAATCCATTTTTGTTCTCATGTTCATATAACTTGATGTCGTGTTGATCAATCTGATCATTGAGACCAAAACAATCTCTTCTGATGAAAGTTTTGAGGTAGGCTCTAATTTGATTGTTTAGAATATAAACTTTTCCGAATATTCAAAGATTAGGGCACATCAGTGGCATGGGTTATTTCTCGTACCTGGATTTCCAACCGTCGCCGGAAAACAGAACCCTCCTTCCTCTCCATGAAGGCAGTCAGAAACTCTGACAACCACCGAGAGTCCGCCTCCCTCTCTCCGTCCACCTCGCCGTTATCCCTGCCACAGGCGCCCGTCAATTCCCCGTCCCTACTAACGGCGTTAGCATAGCTTTGAACGTCGCTCTCCCCCAAACTATTCTCTCGCCTCGCTTTCCCTCTCCTCCCTCTCTTCTTTCTGATCGTAACCGCTCGTTTCCCCGAGTCTGAGTTTTCTGGCCGGTCTTCTATTTGCTTTTCCCTCGAATGAGACTCCGGAATCTGGTTTTCTGGCAACCATAACCTGCCTTGTTGGCATTGGGTGGAACTTCCAGCCGATGAGCCGTTTTCTGGTTTCCCAGCGAGGTTGCTGGCTGGTTGGGAGGTTTCCGGCAGGTGCGATTCGTATTCCAAGTTGCCACTTTCTCTCTCTGACTTGAGGCTCTCGAGCCTCGATTGCAGAGATCTGGAGATGGATGGTAAATAAATGTCATTTGATATCAGTTTTTTTTTTTTGGGCTTTTCTTATGAAATATGAGATTTTTTCTAGGGTGAAAAGCGTATAAATTTGATGTGTAAATTATTTTGGCTTTCCCATATGCTGGTAACAAAGTTTTCTCAGATATTTCATTTTAGGGTGCTATTTAGTGTGAGAAAACATGAGATTCCTGAGGTCTTGATAAGTGAACACGAACCCGATGGAGTCGTCGGATCGCTCGAGCTCACGCTTCAGTTCTGCAACTCTAAGCTTTCGAAGTTCTTCGAACCAGGCACTACAAAAAACACGAAACTCAATTAGCATATAAGATAAATGAATATTATGATTGATTTAGATTCAGAAATTACCACAGTACCCGCATTGTGGGGTTCTGTTTGGTTCTTTTACTGTAAATCTCTAACGATGGACGGGCCAGCAATGGGCCGGAATATTTAGATAGAGAGGCCGGCAATCGGCCGGGAGGCCTGGCCAGGCCGTAAAAATCCTAGGGCAGGAGGCAAAGAATGTAGCCCTTGGCACCATATCTCAAGACCTTTTTTGGCCAGGTCCTAGCCAGGCCTTGCCGGGCCAGCCTTATGGGAACAAGAACAGGCTAGGTCTAGCCCCGGCCTGACTTGTTGCCAGCCCTAGACGAAACTCGAATGGGGGATTTTGCATAGAAATTGTTTTGTTTTCGGTCTAATGATACAAAACATTGAACCACTTTTATTTTTTATTTTATTTTTTTGGCATTTTTAGGGTGGCCCGATGGATGTTTTCTAGGGCCTTAGGGTATCTTTTAGGGTGGCCAAGGGTTCCGATATCACTGATATCTTATCGCTTTAAAGTTAAAAAAATTTCTAAGTATCAAAACGATCTAATATTTAAAACATCCAAACACCAAATATGATAAGAGTACATCAAATTGTAGGATGATCTGATGTTGCCATTATCAGAATAGGGCGGTCCGATGTCCTATCTATAGACGGCTCCACAAATTTCAAAAAATAAAAACTTCAAATATAAAATATAAAATGATTCTGGATTATATTCCAAAAAATATAAAATATTTCTTGATCCACAATAACCAACCGCAAAACTACAAAAATAACAACTATGGAAAAGAAAAGACCTTGCCATATGTTTCCCAAATTTGACCCAGTCCACACATAAATTTCAAATGACATCCAACAGTACGGATCGCAACGGACCTAAAAATTAAAATATATATTTAATAATATTTAAATATATTTTATATATTAAGACCCAAAAAAATATTACGGGGCCGGATTTGGACGTGAAGGGTATTTGGATCCAAGATTTAGACCCAAACTCAACCAATCAAGTCCAAGCTTTGAACCCTATACCCGGACCCGAATCAGGTCTACCCATCAGGTTGGATCCGTCCATTGCCGATCAGGTCTACCTTCGGGTCGGGTCCGTCCATTGCCACCCCTATCAAGCGGGGATCCTTTCGTTCTTTGGGTTGGACGAAAACGATAATTCCACGAGCAGTGTTTGTTTTGAAAGTTATTTGTCAGGTTGAGAGCGCAATGGGATTCCGTGACTGTTCTGCACTTTTGTTCAGAAACGGTCCCGGGAATCTTGATCAGTGTTAAGAGGCCCCAAACGATAACACAAGGGAGAGAGCAAAACCCCACTTATTGGAAGTAAAAGGGAATGGAGAAACCCGCTTACTCTGACTCACAGTACCGCTCCCGTAAATCCTCGTACTTCTCCTGACATTCCTGTAAATTTCAAAATATTCCCCTCATCAAATAATATACAAATATCTGTCTTAATCTCCCAACAGATGGGTAATTTGGACATTTTTACATAACATGCTTTTAAAACAAAAATCGAGCTTTTCTTCCACCCAAAGGAAGAGAAAGCAACACCTATAAGTAAAGCTTTTTTAAAAATAATAAAAAAGAGCAATGTTTTACGGCATGAGACCATTTTGTACCCTAAATAAGGAGATTACAAGGTACTTTTATCGATTAGATGTCAAATTGGATGGTTGAAATATGTTACAAAGTTTAAATTATTTTTTTTGAACTTTGAATTCAGTCATTAACACTCTTACATTTACCTAATTTGAAATTTGACCTACATAAATGACCATACCTATAAAAATAATTGTGATCTTTTTGTATCAAAAAAATAAATGATTTCGTTATATACTTTCTAAAAAAAAAAATAACGTAAAACAAAAGATGCTTTAATAATTCGAGTAAAATTATTTTGCCCATTCTCCATAAATCAAAAGAGCCCAAGGTAGAAATAAAAAGACCCAATTCATACTAAAATAAGTAAATAACCTAGATCTTAACATAATAAAATAATTTAAACAACCTACTAGAATACTAACACAATAAAAAAAAGTTGCATTTGATGAGTCTAATAACTGAATACACAAATAATCGCCAACCTCTGCGATGCTAAGGGTAAAATGGGAAATATTCATTTAAAAAATAATAAATAAATAAAGATGAAGAGAAACACCTTAGGGGTAAAAATGTAAGGGAAAGTGGTTCTGCTTCGGAGCTCTGAAGCTACGGCCTCCCAGGCTCGGGTCCCATGCCTAAGAACCGCCCCCCCAAGCACCAACTCTTCCCAGGTGCCCCACCTCACCATCTCTCCACCTCGAATCCAAGGCGTCCACTCACCAACGAATCAAATCTCCACCGTTTAAAAGAGTAGGGCCAACAAAGCCATTATATTACATACACCACGCAAACCATACACGCCCCTACCTCTAAAAACTGCCCTTTCCAAACAAGCTGTTTCCGAAAACCGCCTTTAGGGGCCTCCGCCGGAGAAACAGAGAACCTGTTTGGCCGACTACGCAGTGTGGCCTCCGAAAACCGCCTGTTATCATGAGAAAAACCGCTTTTTGGAGATGAATCAGAGTTCAGAAAACCTCTGCTGGGGCATCTGATGAATCCGAGGAAGACGAGAAATCGTTTTCTGTGAGTTTTGTGGTTTTGGATTTGGTGGTATTGGTCGGAAAAGGGTTTGATTTTGGGTTTTTGGTTTCTGTAATGGAAGCGGTTTTGAACAGGCGGTATTTATGTGGGAAGGGTTGGGCTATGGTGGGTTGAAAAGATTGGAAAAGAGATCGATTTTTGGGCTTTTCTCTCTCTCTCTAGAGATTCATTTCAGTCTCTTCTCTCTCCTTCACAGATCGATTTTATTATAGGGTTTTCTCTTCGTCTCTAACGAATTTTTTTTTATGAATATTTTGCCCTTGGTTTATTTTGATGGCGGTATATATACTCTCTGCATCTCGGAAAAGGAATAGATCCATGAGCGCCTTTTCTTAGAAAATGCAGCGAAATATCGTGTTGTTAATATTTAGCGTGCAGCTTGTTCCAAGTGTGAATTGGAGTGGACCCTTCAATGGATGGTCCCTGTTTCGATGTGTTTTATAAACGGTTCAGATTCAAAAAAACTATGGAAAAAGTTTACATAAGGTTGCAACTTTAAAATTTAGAATTACAATGCGTCTTAAGAATCTTTCGAATTGGTTGTTTTAATGTTAAAAAACCCTCAATATGATCATCTCGATGTTGAAATGTATGAATTTGAAAAAAAAAAAAAAAGTTTTCGAGTTCTATAAATAGTGCATCTTGCAACACATTATCTAGACACTTTATTTTCAAGATTTTTATATGTTTATAGATCTAATTGATTTTACCCATTTTGTAAGTTTAAAATTTTCTAATTAGATATGAAAATAGATTTTAAGATAATCCTAAAAAAATTTTACAACAAAATTACATGTTAGGATGAAGTTTGAAGGTAAACTTTAGTTGGATTGTTTAAGGTTGCAACCTTATAAAAACCACACACATAAAAATATATATGGGCACATTCGATAGTCACTTGGGTTTCCCCTTAAATTATCCGTCTGAAGTAAGGTAGAACTTTCACAAATGGGAATCTTTTGTCCCCCAATATGAACAGGGAAATGTATATATATTTCCCTTAAATATAGTTCCCCATCCTGCCATCTAATTTAGATCAAGTGCGCTACTGGCCGTTTAATCTAGATTCGACACCTCAAAATATTTTATTTTTAAATTTTTCTACAAATTGTACGAATATAAATTTGGTACGTGCCATATTCTCAATAGGGTACACCTAAAAAATATTAAAAATAATTTTTCTATAAAATATAATGACCAAAATACCCCTTAAAACTTTTAGGGGTATTTTGATCGTTTTATTTTATTGGGAATATTTTTTACAAGTGCGAATTTAAGAGAGGAGGGGGCACCCAAATTTTGATATCAAAATATTATGTAGAAAAAATTTGAAAATAGAAATCAAATAATATTTTTTAAAGAGGATAAGGTTATCGTTGGTTTTATAAATTCAAATCATACATGACATTCAGAAAAATTCAAGCAACAATTTTAAAAATCAAATAACATCAAAATAATTATAATTAAATATTTTTGATGAGAATTGAATCCATATGGCTTAGGAATAATAAACCACTAGGGCACTCCACTTTCTACTGTGGATCAAGGTTTATACTTGCTTTCTCAAACTGACCCAGTGGTTCTTATGACTCACAATTTATCATAGGGGCTCATAATTGGGCCACCAAAGTCAGCCAACAGACAAGGGGACGTAATCTCTGTATGTAGATTTCAAGTTCTCCTCTAGAGACGAACCAATGTCACCTAGACCTGATGTAACCACAGTTTTATGGTGCATAGGGGTAACCTCTTCTCGCACATATGCTTTCACCCTGAAAGGTGGTTCACATTCGTGTGATGATATATGGATGAGGCTTTGGTCCTCATCTCTGAGGGCTACCATCACACACAAGGGTCACACAATCCCTCGGCTCATTCTTTCGAGCATACTCCAAATCTCATTAAGGGATGACCCATCATAACCCTTATTGGTTTAATCTCTATTCACATGTAACATAGCTTTTTTCCAACCGACTGTCTTAGCAAGTCAAGCTCAGTCCGGTTTTAACAAACATCATTTGCTTAGTATGTTCTACGCATGACCACTCTCCCATTGAGTTCAAGTTTCATTATATAAAATGTTTAATTACAAACACTCATAAAGCCTTCAATGGACACTTATACCCAATACGAGGATTTTTTTTTTTTAGTTTTTACAGTAGTAGGGCTGTGCCTTAGTGTGAGGAGCATTGCTCAATCCAGAAGGCAGTCTGAGACTGGCATCATCGGACTACCTTATATCTTAGCAAACCAATGAGCTAATGCGGTCCGAGGAAGCTAATCTAGGACCGGCCTGAGAAGCACCAGAGAAGGTAGTCCGAAAATAGGCAGCTTGGATCGCCTCCGAATGCTTAATAGAGTTAGTCTTTGTGGTCTGAGAATGTCATCCTCGGATCGCTTTGAAGAACACCACAGAAGGCGATCTAGTGATGCTAAATCAAATCACCTGGGCACTGCACCAAACATTATGGCACAACTCTATTATCGAAAAAACTCAAAATAAAAAATTTAAAATGTGGCCCGAGGATGGTATCTGGCTATCCACTGATTGAAGGTAAATTTTGCAAAAAAATAAAAAACTTCATGTTGACCGACCTTCCACGTAATTTTAACCCAAAATTGTCTCGTTTTATATTTTAGTATTTTTTTGTATGTCCATAGTGTACATACAAGGTCAAATGACCTAATTAGGAGGAAGTTTTTGGTCTAAAAATTTGGGATACAGTTTACAATCACCATATGTGTTTTTTTTTATTTTGTAAGGAAAAATATATTGAGTATTTAAAATACCTAGTTCTGACTATACAAGAAATAGGATGCCATGTGCAATCTTTGAGAGTCAAATTTTTTGGGATAGTATATAAAGAGGCCATTTTAATCTTGACCATTGGATATGAAATTGGGTGGATACATTTATTTTATTGTTCAAGTTCGAAATTCAAAAGAAATTTTCTTGAATTTTATAACACACTCAAACTATCAGATTTCACATCGAATGATTGTAAGTAATTGCGACTTCTTTGTACCCAAAGTAAATACATAATCCCGAATTTTTTAGGTAAAAGATTGGGTGCATGTTCAAGTTTTCAGTTTTTAAGCGTGGTCTCTACCCCCAAATTTTGGAGTCTTAAAAATACTCCTCGCTTGGGTTTTGATATAGGCACGTGGTTGAAATTATAAATAATTTACGGAAATTATAAATAGTTTGGCCAATTTCAAACAAAAATTCGATGGAAAAAAGCTCGGCTATTACAAAGGCTTAATAGTCAACGAAAGGAAAATGTGACAAATTGAATCTAAAGACAAAAGTGTAGGAAGAGAGAAGGGTTGGGGGAGGGAAGGGGAAGGGGTCCATTGATAGCTTTTAAAAGGGGAAAAAGTTTATATAAGATCGCAACCTTAAAATATAAAATTAAACATGCACCTAAAAAATCCATCTAAAATGTTGTTTTAATGTTAAAAACTTTATAATTGATCATCTCGACATCGAGATGTATGAATATGAAAAAAAGAAAAAAAAAAAAATTAGTCTCAAAAATATGCATCAATACATTATCTAGACTGTCAATTTTCAAGATTTTCATGTGTTTATAGATCTATTTGATTTTAACCATTTTTGAAATTTAAACTTTTATAATTAGATACAAAAAAATATTTTCAGATAAAAAATTTATACCAAAATTACATGTTATGATAAAATATAGAAATGCGCTTTAATTAAATTGTTTAAAGTTGCAACCTTCTGGAACCGCACCTTTTAAAAGATGCTAATATCAAAAGGAGGGTTTACAATGAAATGGATACGAATTTGGAGTTAGCACAATATTTTTCCCAACTTTGACATTGATTAAAGATCGGGCGGTAGAGTAAAATTCGCCTTGTTCATGACGTATTTCGGTATGCACCACGATTGAGAATTAATCTTCTAGAGAGGAAGGCACAATTGGGTCCTATTTATGAGATAAGAAGAGGTATTTTTCTAGAGAAATATCTTTGTCCGTGCCCTAAATAAAATAGAAACTTACATAGAGAGTTACAAATTTTATTAGGAGTCCATCTCCCATGCTCTTGTTTCTTTTTCGCCTTTTTTTTTTTTTTTTCCAATTATCTTAAGTCAATGTTTCAAACATTGGACTGCTTTTTATTTTCATTTTTGTAATTTTTTTAAAATACATAGACCAGTCCGAGGTCTGGATCCTTTGATCTCTTAGCCTGCAAGAACATTATTAAAGTTAAGTAGGAGGTCTGGAAACTCAGACCCATCACTAGATTGCGAAATTTACAGTTCAGTGACTTATCCAAGGTTCTAGATCTTGGACAACCTGGTTTACATGAACATTATGCAAGCTTAATAGTATGAAATTCTAGACCTCTTACCGGTACTGGGATGGTGATAGTTGTTGTCTAGTGACGGTCCGAGGTCCCAAACCTTGGACCGCTTAGCTTCCACACTGTTCATGCAAGCCAAGTAGTCCTAGGATCTAGGCCTCGGAGTGGTACCAGGATGGTGAAATTTATCATCTAGTGACCGTCTGAGGTTCCAGACTTTAGACCACTTGGTTTACGTGGACATTGTGCAAACCTAGCAGTCCGAGGTTTGGTCCTATGTTCTAAACCTCGAACTGATACTTGATTGCAAATTTCACAGACTAGGATCACTCTGAGGTCTAGACCTTGGACCGCTTGGCTTCCACACTGTTCATGCAAGCCAAGTGGTTTGAGGACCTAGACCTTGGAATGGTCCCTACACTTCTAAAAATTTCGAAAAAAATAAAATAAAAAGGGGCCTAGAGGGGCCAAATTGAAAGAAAAACAATAGCATCTGGGGTGGACCTCCAGTAACATTTATGAAATTTGGACCTCCAGATAATTTTCCCTATTTGATTTAGTGTGTGGTTTGTCTAAGGTTGCAACCTTAAACAATCCAATTAAGGTGCACCTCTAAATCGTATCATAAATGTAATTTTCATATAAATTTTTTTTAGGATGGCTTGAGAATCTATTTTCATATCTAATTATGAAATTTTAAGCTTTAAATATAGTTCAAATCAAGCAGAACTATAAACACATGAAAATCTTGAAAATGGATGGTCCAGATAATGTGTTGCAACTCGAAATCTTTTTTCTTTTTTATTTTCATATATCTCGATGTCGAGATGATCAATTAGAGAGTTTTCCAACATATAAACAACTTTTTATGATGGATATTTTACGTGCATCTTTATTTCTACTTTTTAAGGTTGCAACCTTGTATAAACTTTTGTCTTTTATTTATAGTACCGGAGTTAATATTTTCTTCTCCTGAACCCGATCAAATGAGTTGTGAAGATACGCTTGCTCACGCTTGTTATCCGTATAAGAAAAATAACTACCTTATTTCCAAATCCATTTAAAGACGAAGATAAAAAATCTGGACCAGAGCGTGCGTCAAAAACCAAATTTTGAAAAATAAAAATTGAGAACTTCTTAAGTTTTGGTGCGGCCACCATTCTTAGGGGATGCTATTGCGGAAGTGCATCCTTTGATGCACATACTACTTTTCCTTTATCTTTTGGTGTGGTTTATAGGTAAGAACTTTACTCACGATAGGTCACAATGTTTTTCATTGATTATTTTAATTGGATGGTATATATTTGAAACTCAAGTTAGCCGTGTAACAATGCGTACTGGCATTATAAAACTCGAGGTGAGCCTACTAGGGGTCAACACACTTACCTAGCCAATCTAAGAAGGAATTAGCCAAACTCGGCTAGCTCCTACATTTTGATGTCATGACTTGTACAGACTTGTCGGAGCTTTTGGCAAAGTCCATTGAGTCTGTACAAACGACTCGGAGTCGACTGCCCAAGGGCAGTCCCACACCCAAGGCCTTGTTTTTGAACATCATCAACAACCAGGCGCATTGTATGCCATTCGAAAGGGGAGAAAAGCTCTTTGTTAGAATTTTGCTGTTATCTTAGAGGGAACTCTTTTCGATCTTTAGCCTGAGTTATTAATTCAGGGTTTTTACCCTCTTATAAAATTTTGGTTTCCATTATTATGTTCTAATTTGAAGGATGCTGCAGAAAAAATTCATCTAACAAGAATTGCATTTGTATAACCAAAAAATCTGAATCAACATTTCAATAAAATAGGAAAGCAAAACACGAACCACGAATTCCCCAAGAGAATGCACTTTCTTCTTATATCTATTTTCTTTCTTTTATATCCCTCAAAAAGCAACACGGTTACAAAAATATGGAAAATTAACAGATACTAATCCAAGGAAAAATGAATTATTGAAAGGAGAAACCTTTGATTTGTAGCCACTTAGTATGACTGCATAATGGAGCAAGCAACAGCCTGCGCCCAATGCTTCAGCCTGGTCTTCGTCAGTTGTGAATCGTCTGCAACACCAACACAATATTTTTGAAGCTGAACCCAACAATTAAACAACATATAGAGATAGAGATTATAATGAAGCTTTGCTGCAAATTATACCAGAGACTGTAACCATGGCTACTTCGGGTTCACTATTTGAAGAAGAAGAAGAAGGGTGGGAGTTGCAACTGAGATACTGCCTTTTCACCGCATAATACAAAGTGAGAGCAGGAAGCATCCCACAGAGCTTGTGGTCTTCGTCCAAGCCAAACCCAAAACCAAGTTCTATGCATCCCTTTAGCTCCTTAAGATCCTCATCAGTGCACGTTATGGCCTCTCTCTGTTCTGAAGCCAATTTCTCCATCAATGAAGAAAACAGAGAGAGAGAGAGAGAGAGAGAGAAACCGAGAGAGAGGGAGGCGTGGTGCAATTTTGAGTACAATAAAAAACGGGTTGCAATCAAATTTCTCTATGTCGATTGGTTGCTATCGATATATGTTCTTCAAGGCAATTTGCCAGCTTTATGTACTTTTTTTGTGATAGTTTACAGCTCAAGCTTGCCTTTTTTGGTGCCTATTTCAAAATCTGTTTCTAACGGCTAACTTTTTAGTGCGTGCACTTTTCTTTAGGAAAAGTAAGAGAGAGGATATATGGGTTGGTTGTTGGCTGGCATTAATGAGCTCTAAGCTTTGGATTAGCTTGTAATTTCATTTTTATTTGATATTTCTCTTGATTAGCGCTCTTAGTGTGTTAGTTTGAACCATGGAATGTTGAGTCAAGCTTTTTATGTTGGAATGTTCTATGATCGATAGGGTCAATTATTCCAATTTTAAAATGTTGGTAGTCTCGTTTGCGTGTGCTCACGGCGCACAATAGGCGTGGAAGGGTTTGGCCGGGTCCCGGTCGACCTAGCCCTTGACTCCACCCAACTAAGTTTTACATGGACTTGGACCCAGATTGGGTTACGGACCCGACCCGATTAACTTTTACAAAGACCCGGACCCCGGTCAAGGATAAGTGGCTCGGACCCGACCCGATCCGATAAAGGTCAATGTCGTATCCAAACTTGGACGCCACCCGACATGGTTTGGGTCAAAGCATTTGGACCTAGACCTAAACCCGATCTGCCAAACCCATATCCAGATCCTACCTGATTATCACTCCTAATAGAGAGGGAGAGGGGGAAGGAGAGAACCCATGTATTCCACAATCTAGGGAAAGCTCCTCTAGAGAGAGAGAGAGAGTTTGATTTTCTGGTTAGGAAAAGTACAATAACCCAAAGGAGTGCAGTATATGTTCTTCAAAGAGCATCTGACTTATTTTTGCGAGAGATAGATGACACCCGTGACCATAATGAATATGTGATAACGAGGTAAAATTACCATCAAATAATGTGATAAAAAGTGATATTGTCCTATTTTCGAGGAGTTACGGTCTCTTTTTTACTAATCATTTTACTTGTTTTTAGATTTCATTTTGATGTAATTGTTTACCATTTATTTTTTATACAAAGAAGTCATTTTTGTCTCTTAAATTTTAAAATGGGTGGTTGTAAAAGAATGATTGAATTGATACAAATTTGAAAAAAAATAAATCTCAAACTTCGTGATTCACTTTAAATCATCCAATTTGACATCTAATGAGTGAAAATAGATATTACCTCTTTCTACTAATAAACATAAATGGTCTCTTTTTAGAGAATCATTTTTTTTTTATTGATCCAAAATTTTTGAAGCTTGTATGTCGTAGATCAAAAATGATATTCAAAAGTTGTTGAGGGGTTTCCATTTATGCTGCATAAGGAAAGGTTCGGCCTAGATTTGAATGCCGATTCACATCAAACACCTCTCCGCTTTTTAAATTAAGGTGGATCTTATTCGTTCCTTTAAATTTTAAAAAATAATTTAATATTTTATATTATTAACTATTATAGTTTTATTTGTGTTATTATTACAATTAGTTCTCTTTTTATTTTTTATTTTTGTATTCTAGCAAAAAACACAAAATTAGTTATATTTTATCCACATTTTTTTTGTATTGTCTTATGGAAAGTGCATATTTTGTAGATCTAGAACTATCTAACAAACTCATGTTTTTCTTTTTATTTGGGGTGATTCAGTGGGCATAAGGCCGTTACAGTTGGTAGGAATTGAGCTTAGGACATATCATTGCAAATCATCAAGTGCCAACCAATTAAACCTGGGTTCTTTTCCAGAAAACTTATGTTAAGTTAGTAAACTATGGCTTCTTCAACCCAAGGTAAAAACTAGAGCAAGTTTGTTTCATGAGAAAGAACTCTAATGAGAAAGTTCTTTCTCGAACTTTATACTGGCTGGAAAAGTTAATTTCCATCCTCTCTCTGTGTGCAGTGCATTTTTGTGAGAAAACTGATTCATGCGTACTTCTATATTACATGATAGTGCTTTCTCATGTGAAAGAGTTATTTTTGGGAGTGAGCTCTCCTATAAACCTCAGAAAAAACTTTCCTACAAAAGTAAATGTGCTCCTAGCATCATTGCCACTACTCACTTAAAATGATCAAATGAAATAGACTTCATCACTTTCCTTAGGATGTGGTAAGGATTAAGAAGATACTCATTTGCACAACGACTAATGCTCCTGCTATTCATATTACAAGAAGATAAACTTGGGTTTTTAATTTCCTCGCGGTTGAGGGAATTTCGGAATACTTGACCACTTAAAAATGTATTAAGAGTAGGTTAATGAAAAATGGATTATGTGATATAGCACGGTGTATATGTATTTAAAATTTTCCTTTTCTTACACTAGCATGATCACTTACAATTGTCCACTTATAAATAAATCACTTTTGAAATAAATAAATAAACAAAACAATTTTTACTTGCTACTGCTTAAATACAACTTCTTTATTCAATAAATAAAAATTTTGACGCATTACTTTATGAGAGTATAAGAGCACAATAAAGAAATAAGATAAACCACATAAAATTTGCTGGAGATTACTTCAAAATGGTGCTCGCGATCAATGATCGGTCTCTTGATTCTACTATGTATGATAAAACCTTCTCAAAAGTATATGGATCTTGATCTAGAACTAAATTGCTAAGGCCCTAATACTTAGTCTTCTTCAAGCCCCCTTTGCTTGATCTTAGAGAGATGAAAGAAAGAAATAATTCATAAGGGGGACATGACCCCTCTTTCTACCCTTTTTCTGACAGAGAGAAACTAATCAAGAGAGAAAGACAATTCTCACAGTGGGGCGTGCCCCCCCTTTCAAGGGAGAGAGAGAGACCCTTGCTTGGGGCGTGGCCTCCTCGAGAGAGAGAGAGATAGCTTAAAGGGAGAGAGTTCTTAGAGAGAGAAGAAAGAAGAGGTGTAAACAACTATGAGGGAGATAACCTCTATTTATATATTTTCATGCTTTAAGGTTTGTCAAGGTTTGTCATCTTTAGTGAGATCAAATCTAGACCATTAATTTAAGGAGACTCGTAGGGTGAGAGATGTGAGTCATTCATTCTTTAGATTCATCATCAACATTCAAAAAAAGATGCTAGAACATTATCCTCTATTTCTTAAACCTATTCCCATCAAATATTTAAATAAGAAAAATATTATTCATACTTTCTCTTTTATGGATATCCATTCATTATTCACACAATATTTGAATAGTCAAATATCTTGATTCACATGACATACTATAATTCATTGAATCCTAATCTAAAAAGGCTTCAACACACAAAAAAAAGAAAAAGCCAACAAGCATAGAGTCTCTCTCACAATATTTAGTACGCCCCCCATGGGTGGAGCAAGTGGCCCCTCATGGACCCCACCCAATTTTCCATTGTGATTTAAATGGGCCCTTATATCACAAGGTGGGTCCCACATATTTTAATAAATATTTTAAATTGATTTTAAAAATAAAATAGAACTTATTTATTTTTATTATTTAAAACATTGAAAATTATTTTTCACTTATTTTATAAATCCAAATGGTAAAAATAAAATATCAAGAGAATCACAAAAATTCAAATAATCATTCTAAATATCATATAACATAAAATTGATTAAAAAAAATTAATTTTGATACGATCTAGGAATCATGAATATACTGGAGGACTCTACTTTCAACTGTGGACCATAATCCACACTAGCTTTCTCAAACTGACCCATTAGTTGTCATGACCCGCAATCTACTATAGAGGTTTGATTGGGTCATCAAAGACAGCCAATAGGCTAGGGGACGTAATCCCAATCTATGGATTTCAGGTTCTCCTCTAAAGACAAATCTATACTCTTCTAAACCATGATGCACCCACGACTCCATGGTGCATAGGTATAATCTCTCGCACATATACACACTTTACCATCAATGGTAGATTGCTATCTCAATATGGCTATCTATGTACATGTCGTGTGATGGTACAACGATGAGATTTTAGCCGTGTCTCTAAAGGCCAACCATCACACACAAGAGCTATACAGTCCCTCAGCTCACTCATTCGGGCAAATATCAACCTCATCGATGACTGAACCAATTAACCCTCAACGATTTAATTTTATGCCTAGGTACCATAGGTTTTCCCACTTGACTAGCCTAGCACATTGAGCCTAGTCCGAGTATCAAACAATAGCATTTGCCTAGTATGGTCCACAAGAGGACCACACTCCCATTGAGTTTATGGTTTATTATATAAAATGCTTATACAAGCTCTCCCGTCTTTAATAGCCACATAAACCTAACATTTAATTCTTATCCTAAAAGACAGTCTAAATTGTTTTGGCTTTATATCAATTTGGGTTGAGAGTCGAGAAACTCAACTCTCCACCGCAGTTCTTTGGGTTCAACTAATCGGTTCCCATGGTGAATTCAGGAGCATGACTAAATAATATTCAAATATAAAGAAATTTTGATAATAGGCTGTTTAAGCTGTAGAGATTTACTGGACCAAGTTTCACACTGATCTAGCGTACTTTGGCATGGTTTGGGAAATTATTGTAGTAATTCATCCTAAACCCCTTAACAACTGCAATGAACTTGAAAATACTTCTAAACAATGTCTAATCTTTATGAAATTTGGACTGATGGTTAGTAAGCGTTTTATAACCTAAGTGTTTTATAACTACTTCACAAAGTTCCAGGCAAAACAAAGTTGGCTTGATGAGGTTTTTGAATAAGCTGCCGGTCACTAACCATAGAGTTATTATTGAACTGTGATTAATTTTATTTGGATTCTTCTTGAAGTCCTGGTGACTAAAAACCACCCAAATGGATATCTCTTTTAAAATCTCAAAATCCTATTATCTTCTCAGATATCTTTAAATTAGAAACAACTTTTGGATGGAAAGTAAAAAAAAACATGGTCCTTTAATTCCCCCTAAATTGAACTATAGCCCAAAAAAAAAAAAAAAAAAAAAAGGGAAGGAAAGAAGAAAGAAAAAGAAATAAAGAAAAAAGATACCCGCAGTCTTTTAAAAGCAACAAAACAATTGTAGCTG